TTTTTTTTTTCTTTGAGATGGAGTCTTGCTCTGTCACTGGGCTGGAGTGCAGTGGCAAAATCTCAGCTCACTGCAACCTCTGCCTCCCGGGTTCAAGTTATTCTCCTGTCTCCACTTCCCAAGAAGCTGGGACTACAGGTAATTTTTTGTATTTTAGTAGAGACGGGGGTTCACTGTGTTAACCAGGATGGTCTGCATCTCCTTACCTCATCATCTGCCCACCTCGGCCTCCCAAAGTGCTGGGATTACAAGCATGAGCCACCATGCCCAGCCACCAAATATTTTTCACCTGCCACTGGCCAAATCCACAGATATGAAGGTCTGACTGTACTTCTATATATTCACCAGTATGACCAGCAAAGTCATTTTTCTTATTCACTTTTGGGGGGTCATATATGACACTTTTTTTTTTTTTTGCCTCAAGCTGGTTTCCTGTTCACTGTCACCTTCTGATAAGTCTCCCTGTAAGTGTCAACATGAATTTTGAAGAATCCGCATTCAATTCCATATCAGCCTGAGTTAAAAACATTGGAAAAGGAAATCCACCTCTCGCTTTATAACCACCTACTTCCTGTCACTCATCATTTTCTAAATAAATGACAAGTTTCCTTCAAAGCTTAAAAGCATCTTTTAAACCCAGGAACAAATTTATTTGTTTCTTTTGTGTTAAGGCTAGAGAAACCTGCCCTTTGCAAAGAAAAAAAAAATATCCTCCTTAATGTTGATTTTTTCTTATAACAATGACACTAACCTTTAACAAAAAACACTCATGTTGAAAAATAGTATCCTGGCTGGACAAGGTGGCTCACGCCTGTAATCCCAGCACTTTGGGAGGCCAAGGCGGGTGGATCACCTCAGGTCAGGAATTTGAGACCAGCCTGGCCAACATGGTGAAACCCTGTCTATACTACAAATGCAAAAATTAGCCAGGCGTGGTGGTGGGCACCTGTAATCACAGCTACTCGGGAGATTGAGGCAGGAGAATCACTCGAACTTGGGAGGCAGAGGTTGCAGTGAGCCCAGATCATGCCACTGCACTCCAGCCTGGGTGGCAGAGTGAGACTGTGTCTCAAAAAAAATAAATAAATAAAAATAAAGGGAGAGAGAGAGAAAGAAAAATAGTATCATGCCTATCCTTTAAACATTGCCATTTTTAAGATACTGCCCTATACGAACTAATATAAACATGTTTGTTGCATCATTAATTTATAATACTTTAAACAATATGTACTAACATGGAACTCTGTTCATCACATAATAATGAATAAACAGCAAATTGCAGAATAATGCATAGTGGTTTTTTAAAAAGTAGTATATACATATACTGCTTTTACATATATGTGTGTGTACATATATATATATATATATATACACACATACAAACCATATATATAGAGAGGATATATATATATAGGGTTTGTATAAAATAATACACATCGATCTGTTAATAGTGGTTATCTCCAGGGAGTGATTGAGATAGCGAGTAAAGTATAGACTTTGGTGTATAAATTCTGAATTTTTGTTGTTGTTGTGGGAGAGACAGGGTCTCTCTTTGTTGCCCAGGCTTGTCTCAGGCAATTCTCCTGCCTCAGCCCCCTGAAGTCCTGGGATTACAGGCATGAGCCACCAAACCAGTCAATTCTGGATTTTTATTTAATTTTTTTTCCTTTCAGTGAGCATATGTTACTCTGGAATCTGGAGGGGTTGGGGTGAATAAGAAAATTAAAAAACAATGTGAGGCCGATTGTATTTCCCATATGCTCTTCTTACAATATGATGTTGGGATTCCTTCTAAAGGAGAGCGGGTCTATGTTCCCACCCGCTGAGCCTGAGTGGACCTTTTTAAGTGCCTCAACCAAGTAGCAGAAATGGCATTACATGACTTTGTGGGCTAGGTCTAAAGACAATAGGGAGTCTGGCTTCCCCACTGTCAGCACACTTACCCTTAGGATTCAGCCACCATGTTGTGAGGAAGCCCAGGCCACATGGAGAGGCCACATGTGGGTGTTCCAGCCAATAGCCAGTGACAACCATGGACCTGTGAGTGAAACAAGCCTGATGATGATTCCAGCCCCCAGCGGAGCTCCAGGCACTGTAGAGTAAAGCAAGCGTCCTTGCCGGGCTCTGTCTGAATTCCTGACCCACCGAAACCACAGGAGAAAATAAATGATTGTTGTTGTAAGCCACTAAGGTTTGGGGCAATCTGTTATGAAGTGATAGTGAATCCCTAGTGCATCCAATCAAGGTTAGAAAAACATTTTATTTTCTTTCAAAGTATTTCTATTTATTTCATTGTTTTAATTCACTGTTTTTGAAGCCCAGTTATATTTTAAAAAGAATAATATTGTTATTAAACTCACCTTTTTTTTCTATTCCGTGACAACTCAAGGTCAAGGTGATATACACAATAGCGAGCCTACTGCTCTGTGCATCTCACCCAGCTCAGCCACAGGCAGCAGCTCCCTCACTTCTTTCCTTCCAGTGGCAGGTGCTGAGAACTGCCTTCTGCGTGAAGGCAGGCAACAAAATCATATCCTGAAAGATAACGTCATTTGTCAGAAAGTCTGAACCCTGGAGAGGGATCAGGGCTCCGACAAAGTCAACCAGAATAGGAATGGGAAAGTGGGTTGAAAACATTAAGTCGTGATGTGAATAGGTATGTACACAAAAACATATCTATCTCATAGCCTAGGCCCTGGGACCATAGTCAGAAGTGCCTCAAGAGGTGGCTCAGCTAGTGTGGTGTACTTTTTACAATCACCTGGGGGTGGTTTCAGAAAATACCAAAACCTGGGGACCCATCTCCAGATATTCTGACTTAATTACTGAATTGCTCTGGGGTGGGGCCTGGAAATAAGCATTTTCTTTAAATTTTTCAGATGATTCTTACACTCAGCCAAGATTTTAAAGTCATGAGATTTCTTACCCGATAGTTTCCTCCTCTCTTCAAAACACCTGAGAGATAGAATACATCTTGTTGGCAGTGGTGTCTTACTGTAGTTACAACTTTCAGTGACAGGGAGAAGGTGTATATGTCACTGAGGTAGCCCAAGTAATATACTATTTAAAGAGAGTAATTGTATAAACTGCATATATATGTTTTAGCTGATCATTGTGATGCGTCTCCCTAGGACAAGCCTGCCTATTTAAAAAATCACAGGAATTCTGCACACACTCACAGGGCTTTGCCGGCTCTGAGGGTGGAGCCAAGATTCGAACCTAGGTCTCCTTCCAATGCCAGGCTCTCTCCTCTACACGATGCAGCCTCTTTAATCCAGGTGAAGAGATAAAATAGGAAAAGGTTTTCCTTCCTCCTGGACTTTGAAATGCACTCCCAAGAGCCCCAGATCCAAGAGGGTGTCCTGCCAGAGGGCCAGCCCCGCATCTGGGAGTTGAGGGGGTGTTAGGGAGTTGCAGGCCTGAACTAAGCACAAGTCCCTCACACAGGCTGAGAGCGCCTGGCTCCCAGGGATGTTGGGGTGGGCCAGTCTCTTGCTCTGGCTTCCCTGGTAGGGCTGAGGGAGAGGGAGGGGCTGCTGCTTTCCTGGTGTTGGGTGTTCAGCTCCTGTTGGGCAGGTCTCTCCTCCAGGATCTAGGCTATTTGTTGATTCTAGGGGTTTGCCCTGACAAGAGAAAGTCATTCTCCCTCTATCAGCCACCTGGCATCTGTTACAGGCTAGGAACTGGTGGGAGCACAAAACAATAGATGATGCAGAAAGGAGCCTGAGAAATAGGGTCCAGTTTATTTTACGATGACAGTGGCAGCCTCGCTAGACTATGACAGCTAAGTAATTAGCATTAACTTTTACTGAAGCATCATCTACTGAAGCATCATCTACAGAAGACCCCACGACAGGCTGTCCAGAGTGTAGGTGACAGAGGTCAGGTCTGGATCTGAGGCCTGGTTCCCCTCTTCACTGTGGGACCTTGCCCACGGTCTTCAGTGTGTCCAGGCCTCCATTTTCTTACTTGCAGCATGGAGTTAATGATAAGAACTGCCGAGCCTACCTGGCAGAGTGGTTATGAACATTCTAGAATTTTACTGGGGACTAAAATCCAAATCAGCTATCTGTTGTTTTCACAATCCCTCCCATTTTGAAAATCACATGTCCGGTTTTCTGGTTTTACTCTGGTTATCCAGAGCCTCAGAATCCCTGGCAGTGATCCTTCTGCAGGACCGGCGAGCTCTCTTTGCATCCTTGGATATAACTCACCAGACCTGCATCCTCTCCTTCACTCACATTCACCAAACATCTGTTGCTCACCAAGGACTGTGGTCAACACAGAACATACAGTGGGAAGCAAGACCACTCGGGGCAGGTG